AACTTCCGATAAAGCTAAGCATGAGACCAAGAACACTTCCTTAATGCTTCTTAGGGCCTTGAAACACCTCAACATGCACACTTTTTCATGAGTGTACGGCCGTACACTCATGGGCCATACACCCATGGCCGTACACACCCTTCGGGTGGCCGTACACCTCCCCCATTCAATCACATATGATTTTAACACTTAGTTCAAGTGTTTCCAAGTCCTTAGGGTGGTTTCCTATAATGTCTAGTAGTGAAATACCCTAATCTGATTCATATATGTGTTAATTCATGCTAAATAGGATCCATTTGTGTTCGAGGCTCCACTTGACACCCAACATCTCATATCGATCTTTCATACAAACCACTCACTCGAGGTGAGTTCATACCCCTACATTTTTTCAAGTTTTTAATGTTTTCAGGGGGAATACAAGCCAAACATAAATGGTTTTTATGAAATTTATACAAAAAGGATTTCAATAAACTTAAAACGGATGCAATCGAGACAAACATACAGTTTCTATACTTTTATAAAATATTTAGATATTTTATCCCTTCTGTATTATGCTGAGCATAAGGGACGTTTTCAACTTACAAGCTTAACTACATAGTTTTCAGATCAATACATGATGTTACACATACAAACACACAAACTATAATAGGTATAGTTTGGGAATTCATACAAGGTTATACATATACAAACACACAAACTATAATAGGTATAGTTTGGGAATTCATACAAGGTTATACATATACAAACACACAAACTATAATAGGTATAGTTTGGGAATTCATACAAGGTTATACATATACAAACACACAAACTATATTAAGTATAGTTTGGGAGTTCATTAAACAGTTTACAAACTTATCCTTTATAAACCTTTCGGTTATCTATAAAAAGGGTTTTTCTGTATCATTACTTGTAAAGTCGTTAATCTAATTGGAGACACGTCCTTGGGCGCTTACAAACTTAACTAAGTGGAGGACTACCCCTTATGATCCAGAGTCTCCTCGAAGGAGAGCGTGATTTTTGTGTATAGATCTATACGGGACTAACTATCCTGCACCTTACTGCTAGCTACAGTAGGACCGACAGGTCTACGGGTGACAAAGTCATAAAGGATACTGGCGCCCGATTCACGCCAGATCAAGTTTAGTATGGTCATAAAGCTCGCAATGTAGATAACAACGATATATTTACGTAGTAATATACTATACATGAACAATGATTACTGGGTACAATTTTGGAAAATACATGGTTTCCTTATGAGAAATAAAACTATTATACATGCTGGTAGTAACCAGGGTTTTCAAACAGAACATTTTATACAGAGGTTTTTTCATACATAATTCATCATACAATGCATCTAGTAGCAATCAAATCATACAAACATTTTTACTAATATGTTCTCACTTTTACTAAGAAAATATTGGATTTTCTTGGAAACATGCAAACATTTTACAGAGTCATCAACAGGTTTTCAATACACAAACATCGCTTATGAACTCACCAGCTTTATGTTGATACTCTTTCAAAAATGCTTGTATACTCTGGAAATCAGTAGACAGGTACCTCCTGGAGTTTTGTGAAGACGGAGAGTACAGAGTCGCGTCTTCCTATTTTTTATCATACTTTTGATGTATACAAACTATGTTTCAAACAGATGTAAACCATTTTCATATATGTATTCAATGTTTGGTTGTGTTTACTTTGATTGCTATGATACAATTGTTGTGATACTACGCATGACGTCATCCACCCCCGAACGTTTCCGCCGTTCCGGTTTGGGGGTGTGACAAAGAAGCATCTGTGGCAGATTCAATCGAACATGTTTCCGACTTGTACATCTTTTGTTCGAGGTGGACTAACCGGACTATCTTGCCGTGGGGGAGGAGAGGCAACAACAGGTGGACTATTTCGGACCGGACTATGTTTCCGTGGGGGAGACTCTTCATGGTTAAGAGTCCAATTGACGTAGCGAACATAAAACGGCAACATCAGCTCCGTCACGTCTGCCACGACTCGAATATGTTCATTGTTAGGCTGCAAAAATTAAAATCAAATTGTTAGTTTATAATGAAAATACATTGGAATTTGTAAGTATAAATAATCCTTAATATAAAAGAATACCACAGACACGTTGATTATTCGACGACAGTTATCCCAAGATAACGGTGTTTTACTTCTCCACGACCTCATCCACGACAATTCTGTCGGCGTGCGTATATAAATATTGGCTGCCTCGGGGAACATCTCCAAAATCCATATCTATAGAAAAAAATTGTAAGTATCATGATATTATAGTATAAAAATCATAATAGAATGTTATTTTATACTACAAACCGAAGTTCAATGTTTTTATCGTATCAAAACAAAACTATGATAACTATTTAAATGTATTAGAAACTAACCTTAAAGGGAAGCATAAAACCGGAAACGGTATACTTGTGTACTTTTTTGGCTTCGGGATTGGCATGCTTCAATAGTCTAAATTCTTCTATTTTCTTAAACATTCCACGCATCATCCGCGAAGTATTGGTCTAAAAATACGTACCTCATGCAAACCTGAAATTTTCAATTTATTATTATTGTATTGTATTTATACACAATATGTAAATGTAATACCTGTTCCAATCATCTCTATTATCAGCAAGCTTGTATACTGCAACGGGAATGCACGTTTTAACGTCCCGTCCGTGGAGTCCCTTCAACATAAAAACAAGCTGGATAAGCATCACAATATCTTCATCTTGAACTGCCAAATAATTCGGAGACATAATGAAGTCTTCCAAATCTTTCAACCGCAAACGTGCATCAGAAATGTCTGGGAACAACCGAGCACGAAGATTTGAATCTGACCGGCCTTTTTCTTCGTGGAGTAAATCCACATAAGGGCCAACTTTTAAACCACAAATGAGAATATATTCAGTTTCACCAAAATCCAAATGTCTCCCTTGTATATCAAAAAGAAACCTCCCCATTTCAAATACTTGTTGACACCTTACTTCGTGCAACATCATCAAATGCACAAGTGACGGATCACCATGTGCGATATGCATTCCTAGGAATACTCCGAACGGCGAAGCTTCGAATAATTGTCGTTGTGATTGTGTTAGGCGCGGAAAATAGTCTTTAATGATAGTACCCACCACACCTTTTAAAGTTAAATCTGCTTTTTGATTGAGATCTTCGTGCTGCAAAACATAACATTTAATTTCATATAAATGTCAGAAAAAACAGCAAAAAAAAAATAGAAAAAATCAGTTTCAGGTCATTCCGCGGAGAACCCTCTGCGGATTGACATGTAGTCTCCGCGGAGGTCCATTTTATCCTTTCCGTGGAGGAATTACATCACTCCGCGGAGGGTCCTCTGTGGACTGACGTAACCCTCCGCGGAGTGACATACACCTCCGCGGAATGGATCATGCCCAATCGGAAACCTGTCAACAGCGATTTCATCTAAATCCTTCTATTTTACCTATATTTTCCATTTAATCAAATCGGTTTCGACAAATATCATACATAAACTACATTAATCCAAAGAAAGGATGGTGAGAAATACCCGGGAGCCAAATCCGTTGGCCAAAATATCGGGGAAATTGCCCTCCATAACTGTCGGAATTGAAGTCGTATGTCGCCGGAAAATGACGTCGTTTGACGTCGTTGTCGCCGGATTTGATGTCGGTGTCGCCGGAATCGTCGATGCGGAGGAATGTGTTTGTCAAAGAGGATTCCGGGGGACCAAACAGGAATGTTCGATTTTGTGAAAGAAAAGAGGGTGAAATGACAAAAATACCCCTGTCCGCAGAGGAATCTTCGATCAGCGGAAGTCCGCGGAGGACCCTCCGCGGAATGCATGTCTATAGCCGGAAAAGTCATTTTTTATGATTATATTTTGAAATTCACCCCCATTTTTTGTCTATTGGCGGTATTTTCCCAAAATTTATGTTCATAGATCTACATAATTTCAAGAGGAAGTTATATAATATAAACATATCATTTTAACAAAGTTCTTATAAACCTAAGTATGTATATTCCACAATATTAATAATTGGCCTAGCATTATTGATAAGTGAAAACGATAGGATTTCAGCAAAGACGTTTAACCTAAAACAGAACAATTAAATAATTAGCTAAAATGTTTAAATCGATGTATCCACCACTTCCCAATAATTCATAAAACATGTCACAAGCTTCGACCCTATTAATACTAAAAATTCATAAACAATTTCGAAAGTGACGAATAATTCTGCATTCTGTACGATAAAGAGAAACTTTTATTATATTTTATTGTATTTCTTTTGTTTATAACAAAACTGATATATTAATTCTTCATTTTCTTTTCTATATTTGACATCCATATCCATTTAACACACGTAAGATAAGACATAGTGAGGTCATATTTGCACATACAAAAGATATTATTACAATTTCCAATGATCTAGAAAGTTTGTTACAAATAGATTTTACCAATATTTTGAATTAGTTTATAGTTTAATCCAATTGTTTATTTTTTAACATAAAAGATTTGATTATCTAATTTTATAAGATAATCTTTCTTTTTTAAAAAAAAAAAAATAATAATGGTTGTATTTCATTAATTTAGACGAAATATAAAATATTATGGAATTTTTTGTTCAAAAAATAAAAATTAGAATTAAATCGAAAACTGATCCAAAATACTGAGATTTTATCGATGAATTCCCTAAATCAAATATGCTTTTAACTTTTTTTAATCGTTCAATCTTTCTAAACTATTCATCTTTTAGTTTTTTTTTTCAATTTTAATTAATTTTTAATCGGTTATTAAATACAACCTATATATTCATCTACTTTATTCAAAGTATTTTAATACAAATTTACTTATGGTCATTATGAAACCTTGTTATCACTATACACCTTTTAGTACTGTTTGCCACCTTTTAGTCCTGTTTTAACAAACAGTCTGACACTGATATACTGCATCTGACATGCATTGAACTGAGACTTAGTTCCGATCTCTTGTGTATGTGTGATATACTTTCATTTCTTTCCATTATAGCATAGTACTTATAATGCTATAATTGTGTATATTTTTAACAATTGATATAATAGGAAAAAAAACAAAAGTAGGATGCTATAATAAACAAATAAAAAAAATACATTGCTATTTCTCACATATACCCCTATGCAAAAATACGATTGTGGCATGTTTTATCACAGGGGTAAGCGCAGTCAATTTCTTGAAATGCGCTCCGGTCATAAAACCAATCGCCAACTGCTTCTCCGATTCTCTGTGGTAAGGTTTATGGTTAGATATATGGACCGGTCACGGTCAGTGTTCAAGGGTAAAAATGGAAATAAGAAAAGATAGAAGGGAGTGGGGCCCGGTTTACCTTGTTAGCCAACATGGGCGATTTGGTCATTAACCATGTTTCTTGTATTTCGGTTTGGCAATGGGCATAGCATGAGTTTATGAACATTCCTCTTGATGAATTGAGGCTTAAAAATCCATCTAATGCATTCAAGAATTGCAACCTGAATTCTGTCAAAGTGAAACATAAAACAATGGAATAAGTGAAGGAATGGAATCGTTCATTCCATTCCGGTATAAATTATGATTCTTTTCTTTCTGTTTTGTTTCATTCGGAAAAAAAACAGTAAAAGAACACGTTTTGTTTACAGAGTTTTTAATGACATAAATTTAAATCAAGAATTTCATGAACTTTGGTTGGATTAAAATTTTATTTTGTAACAGTTACTAGATTTTTTTTTATAATCTTATTTGGTTTTTAATGATGTTTTATAGTATCTCGTTATCTTTAGAAAATAAAATTGTAATTTAATTACAACCATGAAAGTTTTAAAAATTAATTTGTGTCATTAAAACTTAAATAAAATAATAATCCTAATCCTAATTTTTAGAAATTCGTAACACTTTTTATCCTAATAAACTTTATATGATTAAATTATATTATATTATATGAAGTTAATAAAAGAGTGACCTTGAATAATCTCAATTTGATTAGATGAACACATTTCAATATCATGTTTACAATTATGCCACGTGCCATGTGGGTCCGAAATCCCTGGAGCCAATACATTCTTTATCTGTAAAAAATGTAAAACAAAATTTTAATTTTCTTAAACAACCAAAACTTAAAAAAAAAATAATAATAAATAAATAATATTCTCAACTTGTTTGCCTAACCTGCCATGAATCATAGGCTGCATTCGTTAAAAAAATCGGTGTTTTTATATATTGTACCATGTTTTCAGGGAAAAAACACTGCAAAAATTAAAAACCACAATTTTTTCTTTTAATTAAAATCTGAAGTATATTTTTTAAAAAAAGTTATGAAGATAATTCTTTCTTAGTTCTTACTAAACTATCTTTCATCTTAGAAGTGCAAGATCGAGGCAAATGCTTAGCCGATCCCTAAAACATGACAATGGTAAAATGGTAATTTTGATTAGAAATTTACAATTTCTAGGTTTATAAAGGAGAAAGAAAGAAAATAGTCAAATACATGTGTCTTGACCACATCATCATAAAAGGCCTCAAGGTGTCTTCTTCCAGAAAGATCTTGTCTGTTTATGAAGAATTTTACATAAATAAGAAGAGAAAAATATTATGAAAAAAAGAAAAGGGTTTTTGAGATAATAAATAATATCTTACGAATTAATAAAATATCCAGCATCTGAAAGACATTTGACTTTTGTAGTTTTAGGTAAGAGTGATTTGAATTTATCACAGTGTAATATTGAAGTCAATCCACCAGCTGAACAGCCTGACAGAATAGCCTGAACAGAGCAGAACAGGTTGTACTGTGTTTGTCATGGAAAAAGACGAAAATACCCTTCTCGAGAACTAGTAAAGGAATGATGGGAACATACATTTTGTGCATTACTCATTCCTTTTGCTAACAAATCTTCAATAACAGCACGAAATATTCTTGCTCCTCTAAAATGAAGGTTAGTTTTCTGAAGAAATTTATAAAAAGAAAAAGAAAAAGAAAAATGGTCATACATTATTGAAAAATATAGGAGGTGTAATATTTTTAAATATTTTTAGCACCATATTTATTAGGACTTACTGAGTTGACTTTTTCCACGTCACCAGTAAAAGATGCTCCATCACAGTATCTGACCTTAATCTTATTCCAATTATAGAAATCTGGAAGGAAAAATAGAAAAAAAAATGACAAATAATGAAAATGTTTTAAAATATTACTATATCGTAGGGTTAATTACATAAAAAAAAGCCCTATATATTGGTTTTTTTTTTCAGGATGAAACCTCAACTTTATTTATTTTTAAATCTCTTACATTTTTCCTTTTTTTTTCTTTCCAATTTGGCCCTTTTAGCAGGTTTAACAGTAATCTTCTAGTTTTACACAATTTTTTTTTAAATGGAAAAATGGAAGGGCCTTTTTTAGGAAAAAAAACCCGATATATAGGGTCTCTAATGTAATTAACGATAAATTAAACGAACCAAATTGAAAAAAAATGGAAAATGTAAGGGCTTTTTTAGAGAAAATAAATAAAATGGAGAATTAACCCAAAAAAACCCAATATATAGGGTCTGTAATGTAATTAACCCTAAATTAAAAGTACCAAACTGAAAAAAAAATGGAAAATGTAAGGGCTTTTTTAGAAAAAATAAATAAAGTGGAGAATGTAAGAGTATTTTTAGAAAATATAAATAAAGTGGAGGTTTAATCCAAAAAAACCCAATATATAGGGTCTTTAATGTAATTAACCCTATATCTTATTAAAGAGAGTAAATTACACGAATGGTCCCTATGGTTTGGGGTAATTTGCACGTTTGGTCCCTAACTTATTTTTTTTAACTCGGAAGGTCCCTACAGTTTGTTTTTGTTGTGCGTTTAGTCCCTCTCTTAATTAAAAAGACTATTTTGCCTATGATTTTTTATTTACTTAAATAAGATGGGATAGGTAAAGTAAGGTAAGGTGAGATGAAAGTGGGGAAATAAATTAAAAAATCAAGGGAAAATAGTCTTTTTAGGTAAGACAGGGATCAAACACGCAACAAAAACAAACAGTAAGGACTTTCTGAGTTAAAAAAATAAGTTAAGGACCAAACGTGCAAATTACCCCAAACCATAGGGACCATTCGTGTAATTTACTCTTTTAAAGATTAAACAAGTTTCTTAATTACCAGGGTTGTATTGAGGCTCATTATGTAAAATCCCTGAAAAAGCAACTTCTTCCATCATTTGCTTAGAGGATCCTAATCGAGTTTTGCTTCGATCAACACAAGTTGTCACATTGTTACACCATCCTCCTCCCTAATAATAATAATAATAATAATAATAATAATAATAATAATAATAATAATAATAATATAAACCACATGAAGTATTTAATTAATTCAAATTCTATCCTAATTTTGTGTATTATAGGCAATGAGAGACAAACCTCAATGTGTATTAACCAGTTGTCAATTCCTGTATCATATCCCATGTCCCAATGGTATGCAGGTGGGCTTCCATCCAAACAAACTATGAAAAAAAAAATCATAATTTGTTAACCAAAATATGAAAATAATATGTTCAATTGTTCAATTTTTTAGATGATAGAAGAGGTGAAGTATGAATTTGGGATTTAGTTAGTTTAATTTACCAGCTCCTTTTTCCAATGCACTTTCTAGATAAGTGATATCTACATAAAAACCATATGTTTCCAGCACTTTGAGTAAACACACCAGTATTACACATAGCCATTGACATGCCTTTTCATTCATACTGCAAATTGATGAAGAAATATGAGAATAAAGTGTAAGATGAGATATAGATTGCACAAATTAAAGTATAACCTCAATAGATTTGTAGAGACGATATGAAATTTTGGGTCCAAAGTTGAATGATTTTGCTTCGTGTTGAAGATAAATACCAATTATATCCATAAAGTGTACACCAACTGAATAAATTAAAGGTGTAGTGCATTATGAGGAGATTAGAAAAAGTTTGCTGCTAGCTACATTTGTCAGCTAGTATCTTTATCTCCCCTAATTGATAACAAATTGAGTAAAATCTCATGGATAGATCCACACGCAAGCTATGTTTTTTCATATATCTATGATAAATCTATATTTGGATCTTGGTTATAAACCGATTAATCACTGAATTCAAAATGTGAGGTTAGTTTTTAAACATGAAGACAACCACATACGATGCGTGATTACAGACTCAAAAGTTGCAGCAATGAGCAAACTATCAATACATTTAAAATGTACATGTTTCCTTGAAAAAGCTTGCTTAATGAGCTCAACAAAAAGCTGATTTACATGAACAGACAGCGAAAATTGAGTCGATCAACAGTTTTAACGAGGCGAGCGATGAAAAAAAGCAGATTGAAACGATTTTACAGCGCAAATGTGGTGGAATTGATACCTGTGAGAGACGAGAGAAAATGCAGACGATGATATCTGTAGCTGTGAGCCTCTGATTTAGAGAAACTGAAGCAAATTTGCCAAAGGGAAAACAAATTGTCGACTGTTGTGCTTTTTCATTCGGAAAGCTAGTAGTGAAAGGAAGGAAAGCAACAGTAATGGCGGAGTATTTATACTCTTCATTTTGCTTCCACCCTTTCCCTTTCAAAGAAAAACAATTAAAATATTAAATTTGAAATAATATCGTTATTTTGTATGTATTTTCATATTTCTTTTTATAACTTTCAAGATAAAGCACACGGATAATGACTTAAAAGGTTAATATATTTTTTGATTTGTACATATTTGGTCACTAGAGTTTTTTTTTTCGTTAATTTACCCCTTCAACTTGTTAAATTGTATGCATTCAGTCCTTACGACCGACTATTCCAGGTTAGTCAGTAAAAATGACTTAATATGGTAATATATTTCTCATTTTGCACACATTTAATCCTTAATATTTTTTGTTGCAAAATAAGTAATTTTTGTTTTGTACTCATTCAGTACTTATGAATGATTTCTTTAGGTTTTTATCACGACATTTTATGTGGAACAATCATTATTGAGATGTTTGGGGGCTTTTGATGCTTATATCCATCGCGATCTCGACTACTTGGTTGCTTAGGTCATGTGTTCTGAACGTCATAACTTCTTCATACGATCCCGGGTTTTAATGATCTTTATATCTATGCGTTCGTATTTTAGTCTAGTACAACTTTCGTTTAGATTACTCCCGTTAAAAAGTAATATATTTTTACTTACGATCATTATATACATACGTTTTTTTATGAATACATGTATGAATGTTTTTTTTAATAAAATCGTAAGTAAAAACATATTACATTTTAACGGGGGTAATCTTAACGAAAGTTATAGTTGACTCAAAAAACGAACATATGGATATAAAGATCGTTAAAATATGATATTGTATGAAGAAGTTACAATGTACAGAACACAATACCTAAGCCAAACCATAAGACCTACGCAACTTAACAGGTCATGTGACAACCCGTAATTTCAAATCTTGTAAAAGTCAAACTTAGTCAACTAAAGTCAAACTTATCCAATAAAAGTCAAACTTGTGCTTTGATGTAATCTTAAAGTTAGATTAATAGCCTTTTCATGGTAAAACACTTAGTTAAAAAGGTTCTAGAATTTTGAAAGTTAAAACACTCAAAAACCGGGGACCTTCGCATGAGCCGCAAACCCTCGCTTGGGCGGTAATCCCTCGGACCGCAAACGGTTTACAGTCGTAAACGTTCGGTTCGCGTCCGTGAACTCCTTCGGAATGTAAACCCTCCCTTATATATATATATATATATATATATATAATATATATATATATATATATATATATATATATATATATGTTTGACCGGAAATTTCATCACTTCTTCACTTCTGACCGAAAACTCAAGACTTTTTTTCCCAAGATCTTCAACCGAAAACCCACGTTTTCTCTCATCTATCATCCAATCCACCTTCGGATCTTATTAAGAACATCTAGTGTCCTCCTTTTCATCGATCAAACACCCTTCATTTCTCGGTTTACAACTGTAAACCCTTGAATCTTATTCGTTACACTAAGAACCCCAAGAACACCAAGATCATACACTTGTGTTTACAGCCGAAAACACTTGAATCTTCAAGTGGCCGTAAACCGTTTACGGTCGTAAACACCGAAGCCAGCCGTGAACTCCAAGCAGTTGCTTGATTTCGCTTCTAACACCTCTTTTGTAAGTAATTCTTACATCTTAGGTTGTTTCCTTAACACCTTTGAGGTTATATTCACTAATTTCATGCCTATATATCGCGTGAAATGCATTTTAGGACTTGTTTTGTCTCGGGATCTAACTTGTGGAAACAATCATCCTATATCAAACATCCAAACGAATCACTCACACAAGGTGAGTTCATACCCCTATAATTTACCTTTTTCAATGTTTTTAGGGGGGAAATACAAGTAGAACACAATAGAACTGTGTTAACATTTACATGTGAAAACAAACAAACAAAGGATTTCTTATGCTTATAAGTTGTTAAAATCCTTTCAAAAACTCTTTTAAACTATTTCAGATTGCTGTTTATTATCAAAATCGTATTCATTTATATATTTATGTATAAGTATGCTTTAACGGACTTAGGACTATTGATAAATACCTTGACTCATGTTCCTTGTTTGGTTGTGGGCTTAGGGTAGGATCACTAGTCCGACTGTCGGCTAAATCATAGTTATACTTGCTAAATATATACATGAATATTATACTCCATTTTTAAAGTACATACCTAACTCAGTTGCAAACATTGGGCAATTGAGTCTTTTCTACAAATCAATTACAGTTCAAACAAACATACTAGTAAACTATAATAGGTATAGTTTAAAGGATCAATACATACTATTTTCTAGAACAGAGGAACAATACATGAGTCAATACATACATACTATTACTATTCATGCAAAGTATACTATTCATTTACAAGAACAAGATAACTAAAATGTGAGATACTATTTCATGACATAGCAATATACTTGCTATGTTACATTTTATAACCAGAGTCTCCTGGAGGGAGAGCGTGAGTTAGTGTATAGATCTATATGGGATTGACCATCCCACACCTTGCTGCTAGCTACAGTGGGACCTGCAGGTCTACGGGTGACAAATGTCATAACTTTTTCGACGCCTGTAGAACGTCGTGTTTCACACTAGTCAATCAACCATGGTTATAACTTTATCACATTTTAACCTTAATTTAACCAGTTTGGTTACAAGGTAGTTAATGCATAAGTAGTGTATTTCATACAATACTACTGTAAACCTTCATTTCCATTACATTCATACAGTGATTTTCTCTCATGAGAAATGCATACTATTTTTCTAGTAAAGATGGTTTACAAATATGGAAAACATACATTTTATACTATTTCAAGTACAAACATACATTTTACACTATTACAAGAGAACAGACATACAAAACAGTCGGGTGTTGGGTAGAAGGCTACATTTCATTTTTAGAAGAAAATATAGGATTTTCTGGGAAGTATACAAACATTTCACTAGACAAACACAAACATTTTCATGAAACAACTACAAACATTTGACACTAAAACACTTATGAACTCATCAACTTAAATGTTGATACTCTCTTTCAAAATAACTTGTATTCTTAGGGAACCAGTAGACAGGTACACTGGATCAGGTTTTGAGAAGACGGAACATGTTCAAGACTCGTCTTTTATTTTGATGTTACATTTTTGGTGTCTTACAACTATACAAAGAACACACATGTATTAACTATTCTATTAATGTAATGGATGTTGTCGCTAGTTTTACTATTGTGCATTGTTATGATACTATACATGACGTCCTTCGCCCCCGAATGTTTCCGCCATCTCGGTTTGGGGGTGCGACAGATTGGTATCAGAGCTTTGTTTATAGTGAATTGAGTATATCAACCCATAAAAGATATACAACTATAAACACATCGGGATTAAAACACTCTGACCAAGAGTTTATACTTTTTAAATAATAAAATATTGTTACTAAAGTATACATACATGCATTCATACTATAAACAGTGTCAAACTAGAGCAGAACAAAAGTATTGCGATTGTTGAACAACACTAGTAGGCTTGGGGACATATAATCAGGTCTGGGATTGATATAACCTGATCAACTATATCTATCCGAGAAGTGATTATCATGTGCCTAGGAATGGTTGTGGTGTTGCAACAAGTCTAAAACTTACCAAATCTACTACAATGAAACACTAGAACAGAACATAAACTTAAAATACTATAAGAGTAGTTTATTGCACTATAATTACTTATGTGAAAACTAAAAAGGTCTTTACTAGTAGGTCAATAGTTGCTGAGTGGATGCGCTAAGGTTATATGTGACTAAGATGTTATAGACTTAGAATCTGTGATCTTCGCATTACTTCCTATTCCTTGTTTGGTTGTGGTCTTAGAGTTGGATCACTTATTCGAAGGTCTATTCTATCTTGGTTATATATAACTGGTATGCACTACGCAAGTATTGAAGTAACTGGTAAGGATCATCCTATAATTATCTATAATGATACATCTATTATATGTCTCTTACACCCCTTTTCTCGCTTAGATAACATGGTTGGATTCCATCTACCTGGCGACCCGTACTTTCCCGATCAAGGGAACGTTGGATGGCTTGAAGCTGAACCCGAAGAAGAGAACCCGGTGGTCCCAGTAGAAGAAGACCCCGAGGAGAGTTTTGAGGAAGAGAACGAAGAGGATGAGCAGGAAGACTTTGACTCAGAACCCGAGGTCTATAATCCACATCAAGTTGCCCAAAATCCTAACCCTTTGTCAGGATTTTCAAGGCCCGACGCCTATTTGGGCAGTGAACTTGGGAAGGTGGAGCCACGAACAGGGACAACCACCTCCTTATAATGGAGACCGAAGCTTCTACAACTTGAATGAGGGAGGCTCAGCAGACAGAGTCCTCCCTATCTTGGTTCGTCGTGTTGCTCGCAATGTTGAACAAGGAAGAGCAACCATCGACCAAGTCATGGAGATCAGGGCTAACTCAGGAGTCAACAAAGTTCGTCTCCGCCACTTGACCGATGACCAGGAGTTAACAAGGACTCACACTGACGCACTAAAGATATAACTGAATGCCAGTCGATCCGAAGTTAGGGAACTTCGACAGAGTCAAGTGGCATTGGAAAGGCGTGTGTGGGAAACAGAACACCAGCTGGCCGAGCCCAGGGCAGAATCTAGTACCAACCAGAACAACACTCCTCGCGAGTAGAGCCTACTCTACTCACTCTTTTGGATATAGATTAGGTCTACTTTTAGACTCTAGTATTATTTTTTGTTTGTATCTAGACCTTGAAATTTCAGTTCGTTAGGTCGTTATGCTGTCAAGTTTTCTCTATATTGGTATTTGTAGACCTATTACAAGGTCAAATTTTCATGAACTCTATACATCTATAATACCAATGATATTGACAGGCATCCAAACCTCTTGGAAAATCTTTATCCAAATTCTTTCATCTTTCAAATGGTGAAACTCAATTGCAAACACTTCACCAATTACATGTTGAACTATGGTGTGTTAGTTCAAGGAACACTCTCGTTGTTCTCACTATTGAATGCTTACAAA